AGAGAGAGAGAGAGAGAGAGAGAGAGAGAGAGAGAGAGAGAGAGAGAGAGAAGTATAATATTGAGGTGTGTGTGCGCGCGCGCGTGTGTGTGTACGCTGTTATCATTGTTATTTTTGTACCATGTTATCGAGTATGTTTGAAGAATAAAATCATTATCATTGATGTTATTATCATTATTTCAATAACGTGTAGCAGGTTGGTAAGTGGGTGGTTAGTGTGATTTGCTCCTTTCCTTTCGACATCTTTCATCCTTATCTTTCCTCCTTTTTCTCTTTGTATGTTACTCTCAAGTAACACCTCTTATCTCCGGCATTTATGAGACCTATTTGTATTGAAAGTGCCATAAAACTCCGGGTGAAACTAAACTAAACATCTCTAGTAACACCTCTAATCTTTGGCATTTCTTTTGATTTATTTGTGTTTTTAAGTTCCGTAAAACTCCTAGTAAAACTAAACTCAAAAGCTCTGTAGTAACACCTCTCTAATCTTCCGCATTTCTTAGACTATTTGTGTTGCAAGTGCCGTAAAACTCTTGACTAAAACCAAACCACACAGGTCGGCAAGCTGGAGATCGACGAGCATGTGGCCAGCGGTATCGAGAGCCGGATGATCGGAAAGAAGAAGTGGCAGAAGGCTGAACCACCTCCCCCAGACGCAGAGGCGCCAAAGTCCATTCTCAAGAAAGATGACGCGGAGGTGGGCGTGTGTTTGTTTGTTTGTCTGACTTTGGCTGATGTGTGTTTGTCAAGGCTATCTTAGATCTATTTAAGCTATCTTAGATCTAAGATAGCCAAGGTATATTTGTCCTTATCTTTTATATATTGGTATATAGTCATTGACTGAGGGCGGACAACATCAAAGTATGACCTTAGCTAAATAATATGACAAAATGCACGAAAACTGTTAACGACAGTAAACAATAGCGGGTCATTACTGTTACATGACAGCCATTTTAAAAAAATGGACTTCATTGTGAGGTCCACCATTAATTATGGATCTTTGTTCCTGGACAAGATAGGACTTATTATGTTTTTACTGTTGGTTTTTTTGTTTTTTTGTTTTTTTTGTTTTTAAATCTGTGTGTATTGATTGGTGGTGGTCGGTGCACTCTTCTCACAGCACAACTGTCTCTTTCTCTCTTCACTTGGCGGCTGCCAATATTAAGGTGGCACTTTTTTACACAAAACAAACCATTACATAACCAAGTTGGATGTATTTTTCTTTAATATTATAATAACTGATGTTCTAATCACTCGTTATTATAATAAATGATGTTCTAATCACTCGTACCACGTACAGTTTTTGTCTCAATCTACCATAGACTTGAAGTATGATATCCACTACCGGGCACTGTCATGGACGACTCTCTTTGCGCTCTCTAGAAAAAAAATATTAATTAACCCTATCCGTACGCCCTGGGGTCGTTTTGTACCCCTGGGGTTGTTTTGTACCCCTGGGGTTGTCTTCTTCACATTTGAGAATACTTTTAGTACGAAGGTCTCTTTGAAACTTTCTATATTTCTTAAAGAAATGATTTGACAGACTGCATGCTATGCAGAACGTTAGAATCGGATTAACGAGTAAATTTCCTCTTTGGAAAGTGGTGGCACAGAGTTCCCCACGTCGTATGGATACGATAGTGTAACACGACGTACGGATAGGGTTAAGTGGTGACACAGAGTTCCCCGCG